TCAGCCCGAAGAGGATTCAGAGGATTGATGAGGATTAAGCCCGAAAGAATTTGACCTCCCAGGAGCTGCGTCTGAAGAGAAGACCTTTTCAGAAGGCGGCGGGACTTCTCAGAAGCCCTCCGGCCTTCTGAGAGGTTTGTGCTGTCTTCGGGGAAGGCTCCGAAGACTGCTCGGAAGGCCGGGGGGGGCTTCCGAGCCTTCCGAGAGGGCTCGCCGCCGAGAGGGGAAGACAGGCAACACGTGCTGACGACGAGTGCTGCCAGCGCCATTCCTGGACGGCCGCGACGGCGGCGATGCCTGCGGCGGCACCATCCGTGTAGGAGAAGAGGACGAGGAGGAGGCGGAAGGAGGAGGAGGAGGAGGAGGAGGAGGAGGAGGAGGAGGAGGGGGAGGAGGACGAGGAGGAGGCGGGAGGTGGAGGAGGGGGAGGAGGAGGAGGAGGAGGAGGAGGAGGCGGAGGAGGCGGGGTGCCCGAGATGCGCATGTCGCAAGCGCGTGGCAGAGCCGCGCAGGACGGACAAGCACGGCCACCTTGATATCGGGGATCCGGCGGGCAGCTCGAGGTAAGTGAAAGAAGGAGGAGGCCTGCAGGAGCCTGGGTCGCCACAAGAGCCACCCCTGACATTCCTCTGCCATCATCCCCAGGTAGGGTTAAGTCGGGCGTGTCCCCCTAGAGAGGGGGAGCTTCGACGGAAAATAAAACAAATACCCCAACCATACCCGCAAAAAGGGGGGAACAAACAAACAAGTCCGCAGACTATGTTTGGACTATTGTTTGACTATATTTGGGGTGTGCTTTCTTTTTCGTTGAAAATCCCTCTGTAGGGGGTCAGGCCCGACTTAAAGGTAGTGGTGATGGTGACCCTCCTTCCTCCGAGGCTGGTGGAGGAAGAAGAGCTGCCGTGGGAGGCTCAAAGTCCTCCTGCTCAGAAGTGTCCTCTTGCCCCTCCCCCTCCTCCTCGTCATCTGTTGCTGCCCCCCTCCGTTTCTCATGCGGCTCATCCTCCTCTTTTCGTGACGCTGGGCCTCCTCCTGCTCCTCTTTTCATGTATGGTCCCCATCCTGTTCCTCCTTTTCGTCGTCGTCCTCCGCCTCCTCTCCCTTTTCGTTGTCCTCCTCATCCTGCTCCGCCTCCTCCTCCTCCTCCTCCTCCTCCACCTGCTCCTGCTCGTGCTCCTGCTGCCTGTGCTGCTGCCGCTGGTGCTGCTGCTGCTGCTGCTGCTCCTCCTCCTCCTCCTCCTCCTCCTCCTCATCCTCCTCCGCCTCCTCCTCCTTCTCGCAGTTGGGAGGAGAGGGAGACGGAAAAGCAACACTTTTCAAGAAGCCTGCCGTCTACTTCCGCACCCCTGCGCGCACCCGCGCGCCCGCGCGGCGAACGCGTCCAACGGAGTGGAGGGGAGGAAACTGAAGAGGGACCAGTAAAAGCGTGGAGAACGGGGGGGATTAACAAGAAGGCTGAGGAAGGAAGAAGCGAAGAAAAGGGAACAGGGAGGAACAGAACGCAGAGGAGAGGGAAGAAAATGAAGGGAGGAGGAGGAGGAGCAGAGGAGGAGGTGGAGGAGGAGGAGGAGGAGGAGGAGGAGGGGCATGGGGGGGGGCGAGGGAGAGAAGGTGGAGAGTGGCAGGGAGGTGGGAAGAGGGAGAGGACGGATCCGGAGAAAGAGAAACAGGAGGAAAACGGGGAAGAGGAGGAGGAGGACGAGCAGGTGAAGCTGGACCCTGGTGGGAGCCGCTGCCCTCGCCCCTGGCCCCATTGAGACCCCTCGCGCATCGGCCCAGAGCTCCCAGATACCCCAGGTGGGGCCGGAAGCGAAGAGCTGCACAGATGCACCCCTTTCCTGTGTCGTTTCTGGCACTTCGCGCCGTCCGCGGCTCTCTCGTCTCTGTGCGTCGGGCCGCCTGGGACTCCGGGCTGGGCCCACTTCGCCGGGGAGGGCTGGCGGTCGGAGCAGGAACACCCCGCTGTGCTCTCGAGGTTTGAGGGCCCTCCAGCAGGAGAGCGGGCGCGAGAGCACGTCTCAGACAGCGCAGGGGGGGGGGGGCTTCCGACAGAGGCCCGCCGCCTGCCAGGGAGGCCCGCCGCCTCCCCCTGCCCTCAGGAGGCGAACGAGAACCGTGCACGGGCCCCGACTTCCGCCCCCGAGCCCAGGATCGGTGCAGACGCCCTCCTGCCGCGGCCGGGGGGGGCACCTCCACCGATCCCGGGCCGAGCGCGGGCCTCGCCAGCATCGGTGCGCGTGCGCAGTCCTCTTCCTCGCCCCTGCTTCGCTTCGCCCTCGCTTCGCCTCGCCCCTGCAGAAGGCCCCAGGGGGGCCTGCAAGCGGCAGACATCGGCCCATTCCCCTCGCAAAACGTACATTGTCAGCATGCTCGCTTGCTTCTCACCTGCCTCGAACCTATCCCTCTCCCCAAGATTGACACGCCAAAAAGGCGATGACAACCTTAGGGATGCGCCCTCAAAAAAGAAGGGGATCCCCCTGAGATTGGCATCGTGATGAGGAGATGCCCAGCATAGGGATAGGGATATGTTCCAGGCTGGTAAGTTGGGCGCCCGAGTTATCCGGGGTAACTCGGGTCCGGGGTAACTCGGGTTTGGATTCCCGAAAAAGGAACCCGAGTTAGCCCTGACCCGAGTTACCCCTGATGATTCGGGGCTCTGGACGCCCGAATTATCCAGAGTAACTCGGGTCCGGGGTAACTCGGGTTCGGATTCCTGAAAAACGAACCCGAGTTATCCCTGACCCGAGTTACCCCTGATGATTCGGGGCTCTGAGTAAGCTTCGTCTTCAGAGTGCCCCGGACGCCCCCGAGGGAGCCCCAAGGCAGCCCGAGAGAGAGGCCCACGGGTGCCACCCGCCCCCGTCGCCTCGAGCCGCTGGGCGGGGCGGCCGCGGGGCCGCGGGGCAGGGCCCCCGGGAGGCCGAGGGCCGCGGGGGGGCCAAGCCGGCGCGGCGTGTCCCCCCGCAGGGAGCCCGAGGGGGCCCGGAAGCCGGAGAGGAGGAGCGAGGAGGAAGAGGAGGAGGAAAAGGCGAAGGAGGAGGAGAGAGAGAGAGAGGGAGAGAGAGAGCGAGAGAGGGAAGCGAGCTTTCGTCGGGGGCGGCCAATGAGGGGGGCGTCCAAGATGAGGGGGGGTGCAGATCATGGCCGGCGGCACGTGCGCGGCCCAGCGGGGGGGCCAGGGGCGTCGTGGAAGAAGAAGAAGAAGAAGAGGCGCCATGAGATCTGGGGGAATATCATGGCCCCCGCCATGATATCCCCCCCCCCTAGTCATCACCCCCCTCTTTGCCGCCCCCAATTTAGGTCGGGCATGTCCTCCTGCAGGAAGGTTCTGGAGGAGGAACAAAGCGCAGTCAGACCATGTTCCAACATGTGCACACAAAAACAGTCGACGCATCGTCCCCAGGCTGTGTGATCTGATTACTTTGGCGCATCCCCCCTGTAGAGTTAAGTCGGGCCTGTCCCTCTACAGGAGGGATGCTCGAAAATTGTCAAAAAATAGTTCGGGGATGTTTTGTTGTGCGTATTTTTAGGCCCTTTGGGGGCATCTGTTGATTCTCTTGTATTGGTCGTCCAAAACCCCCCTGCAGGAAGACAGGCCCGACTTGACACTGCAGAGGAGCACGCCCGACCTCAGGCGGGCTGCGGCTCTCTCGCGGCGGCCGCCGGCCGCGGCCGCGGCGAGAGGCCGCCCGTGGGGCGGCGAGCGGCCGCCCGTGGGCGGCGAGGCCCGGGGGGGCGGGCCTCGCCGGGTGATCTCGAGCGGCCTCTCGCGCCGTGGGGCGCCCGCCGGTCGGGCGTTGGCACAGCTGGGTTTTTCGTGGTACGTCGGGCCTGTGCCCCCTGCATGCTGGGCCTGTCTTCCACCACCACCACCAGAAGCTGGAGGGGGGAGGAGGAGGAGGATGAGGAGGAGGAGGAGGAGGAGGAGGAGGAGGAGGGCGAGGAGGAGGAGGAGGCGGAGGAGGAGGAGGAGGGGGAGGTGGAGGAGGAGGAGCAGGAGGAGGAGGAGGAGGAGAAGGAGGAGGAGGGGGAGGAGGAGGGCGGGGAGGAAGGGGGAGGCGGACGAGAAGGTGGAGAAGGAGGTGGAGGAGGAGGAGGAGGAGGACCCCCTCCCCCTCCAACTTATGGTGGTGGTGGTGGTGGTGGTGGTGGTGGTGGTGGTGGTGGTGGGAAACAGGCCCATCACTACAGGGGGATTTTGGACGAAAAATAGAAGATAGTCAAAAAATACACCAAAATGGCTGAAAAATACTCCAGAAATCATCCCCGGACTATTTTTTTTGGCTATTGTCGAACGTCCCTCCTGTAGAAGGACAGGCCCGACTCAAGTTTAGTGGGACCCCTGGTTCAGTGAGGTGTCCTGGGGGGACGCCCCCCCGCCCCGTTCCACTGAGCGGAACTGCCGCCACCCGACAAAAAAAAACCGCTGCGGCGGACCTGCTTTTGGCGATTCTGGTAGATTCAGGGCCTCTGGGGCCCCGCCTCTGACCGGGTCCCCTTACCTGGGGTCGTGGCCAGACCCGAGCCCGGGTGGGTCGCAGGGCCGGGGGCGCGGCCGTTCTCTCGGATGTGATGGCTCGGCTTCGAGCTCGAGCTGCCCCCCAAAAGTTCCCTGCGCGGCGCGAGCGGAGGCTCGCGCGCGCAGCCAGATGGGCGCGAGATGCCGCGTCGAGGCCCCGCTCCACGCGCGGCCCCCTCGGCTCTCCTGGCGCGACGCGGGGGGGGGGGTCCCGTGTGCTGCAGCGTGGGGAAGTGGCCACGTGGAGGCCCCGTTCCTCGCGCGAGCCCCTCGGCTCACGCTGATGCCCAGCTCCTCGCGCGAGCTCCTGGGCTTCTCGCGATCGGTGCGGTTTCCGAGCTGGCCAGAGGACCGTCGGGGGGCCTCTCGAGCATCCCCTTGCGTTCCTTACTGGGCGCTCGCGGTCAGCGCTCGTGCCTCGTTTCTCAACTCGCGCCCCCCTTCTCCCTGGGCTTCGGCAGAGGGAGGGGGCGGTCGTGTTCGGGACGAGGGGCGACGAGGAGGGAGCGCCTCAGGAGAAGGGCCCAGCCGTCCCTCGGGGTTCGATGGCTCGCCTTGGAGAAAATGGGCCCTTCCTTCGGCGGCCCGGCAGTGCGGGCGCCGCCCGGGAGAGTCCGCGAGCGCTCGGCAGTGGTCCTCCCGCCGCGACTGGCGGCCAGGCTCGTGCCCGTCTGGGCTCGCGCGCCGTGGGCTCGCGCGCCGTGGGCTCTGCTCCCCCCCTCGGGCCGAACGAGAAGAGACGGGGGACAGGGAGAGGGGGGGGGAGGCTTGGAGGCTTGCGCTACTCCGCCGGCCCCCAGAAGAGGGTATTAGTGACGATGCTCATGGTTGCTCGGGTGCCCCCTGGAGGGCAACGTCGAGAATCTGCTGCATGCAGCTGGTGTCGGGTCCCGCCGCCTGGCGCATGCCCGGGTATGCCCTGGAGGCGCCGCGAGGTGCCGGGAAACTCAGATGCGCGAGCTGGCTCCCGTGGCCCCCCCCCCCGCGCCACGGGCCTCCCCCTCCTCCCCCTCCTCCTCCTCCTCCTCCTCCTCCTCCTCCTCCTCCTCCTCCTCCTCCTCCTCCTCCTCCTCCTCCTCCTCCTCCTCCTCCTCCTCCTCCTCCTCCTCCTCCTCCTCCTCCTCCTCCTCCTCCTCCTCCTCCTCCTCCTCCTCCTCCTCCCCCTCCCCCTCCTCCTCCCTCTCCGTCCGAGCCGGTCCTGCGACGGCCCGGGCCTGTCGACGTCGTGCTCTGTTGTGCTCTTTCAGTCCCGGCGTTCAGGGGCCGCTCTGGTCGGACGGGCGCGCGCAAAGGTGGGGGTAGGGGCGCATCCAGGTGGGGAGGACGGAAAACCGTCCTCACCAGCCCCTGGACGAAGGGCGTGTGAGCATCCAGCTGAGCTTGCCTCTGGGCCCACCCTGGGGCTCCTGGGTTCAGTCCCGCCCCTCTGCGAGCTCCGGACTTGGGGGGGGGGGGGTCCAGGCCCGCAAGTGGACCCGGGCAAGGGCTATTTAGGTCGGGCATGTCCTCCTAAAGGCGAATTTTGGACGAACAATGACAAATCATCCAACAATATTCAGACATGGCCAAACATAATAGGAAAATCCTCCCCGCACTATCTTTTTATATTATTTTTTGAATATTCCTTCTGCAGTGTGACAGGCCCGTCTTAACTCTTGGGCTAAATCCCACCCCTCTGCGAGCTCCCGACTTGGGGGAAGTGGGCCCGGGCCTGCAAGTGGACCCTGGCAAGGGCACGCGAGAGCCCGGGAGGCTCTCAGGTCGAGCATGGAGACACATGAGCATCGTCGGAGGTCTGGGCAAATGTTAGGCGGTGAGCGCGCGCAGGAAGTGCAAAGGGGCGGTCTTTCTCAAAATCCCTTGCCCAGGGACGCGGAAGGCTCCCCCCCAGCAGGCGCGAAAGCTTCTGGGAAGCCCCGCCGCCTTCTGGGAAGGCCTTCTCCTTCTCGCTTCCCCCCCTCGCTCGCCGCCGAGAGGCATCGTCGGAGGCCGGGGCAAATGTGGCCAGAGCACATGGGGCACCAAAGATTGCGCCGCATCGCCGGCGCGTCGGCGCTGCATCGGCGACGCCGGGACGCAGAGACATCGGGCCCCAGGCCGCACCTGCCTCGCCGCTGCAGCGGCTGCGCGGTGCGATGCGGGGGCCGCTGCGCCCGCCTCGCTCGGGAGGCCTCCCGGCGGGTGCAGGCACCGGGTGCACAAGCGAGGGCCGAACAGCCACTCCCAGAAGGATCGCCCCCTGGACCAGCGAGGCCGCTCAGCAAACGCACCCGGGGAGGGAAGCGAACGGGGCAGGGCCGTTTCCTGAAAGGCCCGGGGCCGTTCCGTGCACGCCCCGTGGCCGGGTCCCGGGCGGTTTTCCCTCCCTCGGCGCGATGGTGACCTCGACCTCGGAGGAGGAGGGGGAGGAGGAGGAGGAAGAGGAGGAGGAGGAGGAGGAGGAGGAGGAGTCGGAGGAGGAGGAGGAGGAGGAGGGGGAGGGGGAGGGGGAGGGGAGGAGGTGGCCGGGGCCCGGGCGGTTTTTTCCCTCCCTCGGCACGAGGCCCTCTCAGACGTCCGCGATGGTGACCTCGACCTCGGAGGGCGGGCGCGCACGGGGGGGCGCGGCGCGAGGGGGGCGCGGCCTCGCAAAGGAGGTGAGGGGCCCTCTTAGGGAAGCGCACCTTGCCGTCGCTCGGACGTCCATTTCCCGTGTATTGTTCGGTTTCGTGCGTGTTTTTTTGGCTCGATGGTCCAGGATGGTCCTCGATGGTCCTCGCCGAGAAAATAGGCACACGTCCAAGCGATGCCAGGGCACAGGTCTGGGTTTACAGGCAGGAGCTCGACCAGGAGAAGCCTTCCACGGGAGGCCCAGCCCCCGAGGCCCCAGGGCGTCCGTGGAGTCTTGCCATGGCGTGAGACGTCGCGCGCTCTCCATGGCAAGACCCTCGAAACCCAAGAGACCCAGGGCACGCTGGACTCTCCCGAGGATCACCCCGAGAAGGCCCCGGGACGCAGAGAGAAAAGAGAAGCAGGACGGGTGGAAACCGCCGAGGGGTTACCACGAACGTGCCATGCTGCGACCATCCTCCCCGCCCCCGCCCTCCGTCTGCTTAGAGACGCATGGATGCTTCAAACTGGGCCTCTCTCCGAAGCCAGGAGGGCTTCTGAGAGCAGCCACGTGCCTCCTCGGAAGCCCCTCCGCCTCCCTGGAAGGACCTCCCCCCCCTCGCGCCGCCCCACCCTTGTGCGCGCCGCCAGGCCTCCACGCCGGGCTCGATGGAGATGGAGGTGATCTGCTTCACGACGTCGGAGGGCGAGTGGAGGTCGATGAGGCGCTTGTGGATGCGCATCTCCCAGCGGTCGAACGTGTTGGTGCCCTCGCCGCAGGGCGACTTCCTCACGCACAGGCGCAGGGTGCGCGTGGGGAGGCGCACGGGCCCCGCGACGTGGAGCTCCTTCTCCTTCGCGCCTGGGGAAGCTTGCTGCCGCTCGGATGCCCCCTCCCCGCGCATGCTGCGATGTCGCGCGTGCTCCTCGCTGGCCGCACGCTGAGACACTCTTGCTGTACGAGGCCTCGGGGGCCATCGGGGGAGAAGAGGCCTCCGCAGGGGAACACCTGCTGGCAGGCCGATCTCGCCACTGAGACGTGCCTATCATCAAGTCGGGCCTGTCCCCCTACAGGCCGATTTAGCCGAAAATTCAAAAATCGTCAAAAATATTCTAAAATTCTCAAAAATGGTCAAACAATCGTCCCAAGGCTATTTTTTGACTATCTTTGAAAATTCCTCCTGTAGAAGGACAGGCCCGACTCGAGCCTACCATTACGGTGCCGCGACGGCGGGAGGCTGGGAGAAGCACGGGACGCTGCTGCTTCGGCAGAGGGGGAGGAGGGGGAGGAGGAGGAGGAGGAGGAGGAGGAGGAGGAGGAGGAGGAGGAGGAGGAGGAGGAGGGGAGGAGGAGGAGGAGGAGGGAGGAGGAGGAGGAGGAGGAGGAGGAGACCATGGCTACAGGAGCACCCTCGACCGCCATGAGTGAGTGAGTGAGTGAGTGAGTGAGTGAGTGAGTGAGTGAGTGAGTGAGTGAGTGAGTGAGTGAGTGAGTGAGTGAGTGAGTGAGTAAGTGATGAGGAGGAGGAGGAGGAGGAGGAGGAGTGAGGAGGAGGAGGAGGAGGAGAAGGAGGAGGAGGAGGAGGTGGAGGGGGAGAAGACGTGGCTCGCGTGTCGCGCTCAAGTGTGGTGGGCACGAGCCCGCGGCGCGACGCGCTCTCAGCACGAATGCTCCTGGCCGCACAAGCTCGTGGGAAGAACTGTCGCTCGGAGCATGAGCCCAGCGAGCCCTCCAGCCAATCCTGCGACATGGCTTAGGAGGAGGAGCAGGAGGAGGAGGAGGAGTAGGAGGAGGAGGAGGAGAGGAGGAGGAGGAGGAGGCCTTGGCCAGTCCTCCTGGCCACCCCTTCTGGCCAACCATGGTTAGGGCAATGACCCCCATAAGACGCCATACACAGACACAAACTTTCAGAGGTCCGGCATCTCCTGGGGAAACAAAGAAAACCGCCACCACTACTTCCAGGGGACCCTTCCCAGGGCGCGTTCGGACCAGGACCTCGTAGCGAGTCTGGCCGTGGCCGACGAAGGACGCGCAGCGGCATCGGTATCCTTCCCTCCTCCGAAACTCATGATTGTTCCGTTGTTTCGTATCGAGCACCTGCGATGAGGTCCCTGCACACCTTCTCGAGCGACTTCACGTTGCGGCTCGTCAGCGTGATGCGGATGCGGTGCAGCCGCTGTTCCTCCGCCTCGAGGGACTTCACCTTCGTCTCCATGGGCTGGCCTGGTTGTAGCCGACTGCTACTCCTCAAAGACTGGCTGGATCGAAAACCGTAGGCCAAAACGGCTTCGGAAGAGGAGGCGGAGGAGGAGAGGGCACAGAAGACGGAGAGCGGCTTCTCCGGGTCCCGTAAAACCAGGACCCTGGCACACCCAGACACACGGCAGCCATGGAACGAAACATTCCCCATGCCCCGCAATCTCCCGGCGGCTCTCGCAAAATCCTAGTCTAAAGGAGGGGGGCAGTAGAGGGCGATTCGCAACTCAGTTCGTGTAGATGGTTTCGTTTAGCGCCTCCTGGCGCTGGAGGCTCTGAGCTTGTTCTCTCTCTCTCTCTCTCTCTCTCTCTCTTTCTATATATATAGTATGTATACATACGTGTATATATACACCATTCAGATGCACATGGTTATGTATGTGTGTATAAACCAGGTGTAAATACAATTCTGCATACCTTTATCTATATATGTATCTATCAAAGATAGAGAGAAAGGAGAGCGCCATGTGGCGGGGCCGAAACAAGCTGCATGCAGCAGATTTGATACCACCCCTCTCCCTGGCCCCCCCCCCTTTCGTCCGACTAGTGCTCACAATGCGTGAGCCCAGACGGGAATGAGCGTGGCAGCCGCCGGAGCGGAAGCGCCAATGCCGAGCGCTCGCGGACTTGCCGAGCGGAAGCTCCCACACAGCCGGGTTGCTGGAACAAGGACATATGACTAAGGAGCAAGGCCACTTTTCCCCAAGGAACGGCTGAGCCCCTTCCTTGAAGCGTGCCCTCGTCGTTGCCCTTCGTTCCCAAAATGGCCGCCCCCTCTGCCGAAGCCAAAAGGACGGAAGGCACGGGTTGAAAAACGAAGCACAAGCGCAAACCGCGAACGCCCAGTAAGGAACGCAAGGGGATGGCCCTCACGTGAACCTCCACTCGAGGCACGCATGGAACCTAGGGGCTCGCCTGGGGAGCCGGGCCTTGACCTGGTCACTTTCCTCGTTGGCCCAAGGAGAGCAGGGCCGGAGAGTGAGGAGCTGGGCCGCAACGAGGCCATCACTGCACGACCTAAAACCGCCAGGCCTAGACCACGTGGCCCAAGGAACGGGCAGTGTCCGAGCGAGAAACTGCACACGAACTGGACCGCCGTTGACCCTGCCAAGGCCTGCGAGCATCATCCCAAGTCTCACAAGGAACGGGCGCGAGATGCTGTTGAGGCAACTGTTTTGGACGGCCATGCCGTGCTTGGAGCAGAGAGGGTGGGAGCAACGAAAAGCGACACCACCACCACCAGCCCGAGGAGCCAGGGGGGGTCCTCCTGTGTTCTTTCGTGTGCGCGTGTGTTGTTCGTAATCTGCTTTGGGGGGGGGAGCAGGAGCAATGAGAAGCGGGCGCCCCAGCGACCACACAACGGCGCGAGCAATGCGCGGGCATGTGACTCCGCCTCGAAGAACGGTGTATTAGGAACCGAACTTTATACACCGATGCTTTTTTTTCCAGTGCCGCACTGGGATTCGCACAAGAAAACGGATTATGGTGTATACGGCATCCTGGTGTGTACATGTGTTGTTGCTTCCACGAGGAAACGGGGAAACAAGTATACACCACACCACCCCGACGTCGTCCCCGACCCTCAAAAAGTCGTGGTATTGAAAAACCGCCCGCCACTGGTAATGCATATGCTCCAGTTTCCGAGTGTATGCCAAAGCGTGCGAGGCTGGCACGAGGCAGAGCGGGCAGCGTGGTTGCCAACAGCTGCCAAGGGGGGGCTCCTGGTGGTGTCGTCCCCCCATCCCCGCTCGAGGCCCGCCCCGTCCCCAGCTCGGGGCCGCACCGTGGACCTCCTCGCCCGAGATGCCGCCCCATGGCGGTGGCGTCGCTGTCCTCCCCCGCGAAGGAGGATCACAGTCATGAAGGGGCCCTGGGACACACAAATCAATAGACACAAATAACAGGATTCCCCATGTGTTCGCATATCTTCCAGGTTGTCTTCCCCCCCACTTCCTGGGAATCGACGAGTCATTGTGTCTGCGCGGTTTTTCACCTCCTGAAGTCCCCGCGAGTGCAGTCGAGCAGTCTCACCATCAGGGGGCCTCCAGAAGGAGCCCCTCTCTGGAGCCCGCTGCGCCTGGGCTCGCGGGGAGCCCGCCGAGGAGGACCTGAGGAGGGGCCCGGCGACCAGGGGCCCCCGCCGAGACCGAGGTGGGCCCGCACTCCGAGGTCTTGGCCGTGGCCGTCGAGCGGAGAGCGGGGAGGAGGCCCCTCCTCATCCTGGCACCCAGCGCCGCCTGTGGGGGGGAGCGCAGTGCGCAGCCCGAGCGGGCACTCCCGTTTTTTCACGATGTGGCGGGCACGGGTAAACGATGGGGCAGAGAAGAGGAGGCTGCCGGGCAAACCAGGAACGCCTTTGCGGCCAAACTGCGGAGGCAGAAAGAGAGACGAGAGAGGACGAGCGGGGGGAGCGGCAGGAGAGGCGAGACCGGGGGCAGGAGAGAGAGACTTCTGCGTCGCAGCGCGGCACACGCAGCCCGCACAAGCGCCCAAGCAACCCTGGCCACGGTGCTGCGAATGGTCCCGCGTGCAAGAGGAGCGGAGAAGAAGAGGGGCGGCCGCGGAGGACGCGCAACTGAGAGGGGGAGGTGCACTCACACGGCGAGGCCGCGGCGGGGCGTTCGGGGCGGCCGAGCCGGTGTAGCTGCCCCCGGCAGCGGCACCACGAGCCCGCCCAGGGGTGGGTCCAGCGGCTGCAGCGCAGGGCGAGGCCCAGGAAGGTGGGAGGCGCCAGAGCTGCGGGGCCCGCAGCGGTCCCATTGTCAGGGCACGGGAGAGAGACACGCTTAGATGCGCTGGCGCCAAATCTGAAATCCTGCACCTCCCACCTACCCCTTCCCACTGCGCAGCATTGTGCTGTACCCACAGACAGGGGAGTCCTGGAGGACCCTGGTCACACGAATGACCCCCCCGTGTGAGGCTTGGTATATTGAAGAAGTGGTGGCGCATGAGCAAGTGGATGAGCAGGAGGAGGTGGAGGAGGAGGAGGAGGAGGAGGAGGAGGAGGAGGGGAGGGAGGGACGAGATGGAGCAGGAGCAGGAGGAGGAGGAAGAGGAGGAGAAGGATCGGCAGCAGCAGAAGCAGAAGGAGCAGAAGGAGTACAGTCGGACCTTGGTCAGAAGAACATTCCTCAAAAACACGAGACCTTCCATCGGCCAAGACACACCGACAATCCAAGGGTACCCTCCCCAGGATGCACGAAGACCATTAGGGTGCCCTTCCCGAACCGACCTCGACCCTATACCTCTGTCCGACCGTATGATGATGATGATGATGATGATGATGATGATGATGATGATGATGATGATGATGATGATGATGATGGTGATGATGATGATGATGATGATGATGATGATGATGATGATGATGATGATGATGATGAGGAGGAGGAGGAGGAGGAGGAGGAGGAGGAGGAGGAGGAACACAAGGAGCAGGGGAATGCAAACGAGGGAAACGAAGGGGGCGGCTACGACGAGGAAGCGATCGGATCCAGAACTGTGGCCCGCACTAGGTCGAGAGCGCCAGTCTGAACAACGGGAGCAAAGCGTCGATCCTGAGCTGTGGTCAACCCTGCGGCGGGAGCACTAGTTTCGAAGGGCCGAGAACGCGCCCGTCGAACAAACATATGTGAACGCCCAACGCTTGAAATCCAGTGCAAACGAGAAACGCAAGATAGGCGGCGGCAGCTGTGGTCATGATCAGGGGTGCGGGGGGAGCAACTGGCACTCCTGCTGAGTACGAGTGCGTGGGGGAGGGAGGAGAAGAGGAGGGAGGGGCGAAGGAGGAGGGGGAAGAGGAGGAGGAGGAGGAGGAGGGGGAGGAGGAGGAGGGGGGAGGAGGAGGAGGAGGAGGAGGAGGGGGAGGAGGAGGAGGAGGAGGAGGAGGAGGAGGAGGAGGAGGAGGAGGAGGAGGAGGGAGGAGGAGGAGGAGGAGGAGGAGGGGGAGGAGGAGAAGGAGGAGGAGGAGGAGGGGAAGAGGAGGAGGGGGAGAAGGAGAAGAAGATGAAGACGAGGCTGCAGCAGTGCATGGCGACGGGCCGCCTCGGCCCCCGACGCCCTCCCTCTAAATCCGGGAGGCGGTCTGGCAGCGCGGCGGGCCGGATGGAAAAAACCCGGCCCCCTGCGCGCTGCGCCGGGCCTAGGGGGCCACGTGCGAACCCTACCCCTGCCCCCCACGATTTCTGAGAGGGAGGGTGGGGTTCACTTCGCTCGGGAGCTCCCGAGCGCGAAGCGAGACCCACCCTTGCCCTCAGAAGTCGTGGGGGGCAGGGGTAGGGCTCGCACGTGGCCCCTTCTAAGGCCACGAGCCGCCGCTCGTGCGGGTGCGCCTGCGCCCCGCGGGGCCCCAGGCAGCCGGCCTCGAGCAGCAGCACGTCGGGGCGCCCTCCGGTCCCGTCCGGGCGGAGCGTCGGGCGGAGGGGGGCCCGCGCCTCCGACGCGGCCAAGAGGGGGGTGTCCAAGAGGGGGGGGTGCAAATCATGACCAGCGGCATGTGCGCGGCCCAGCGGGGGGGCCAGGGACGTAATGACACAAGACGAGGCGCCATAACATCTGGGGAAGTATCATGGCCCCCACCATGATATCCACACACCCCTGGTCATCACCCCCCTCTCTGCCGCCCCCGACTCTACTACGGGCCCAGGGAACTCCCGGGCCAGCTTCCTCAGAAACGACGGAAGCCGTGCAGGCGTGAGCTTTCGGAGGTCCGCGCGGAGTTCCTGGAGCGGCGCCGGAGGGGCACCACGGGGTCCGAGCGACGATCCAAGGAATCCGCGCGGAGCTCCGAGAACGTATGGCTATGCAGTTTTCCTGCCATCGCTCGGACCTCTGTTCCCCGTGCATGTTTTGGTGTACGGCGTGCTTTTTTTGCTTGCCGGGTGATCCAGGCTGCTCCTCGACGGGCCTCGCCGAGAAAAAATGCACACGTCCGAGCGATGCCAAGATGTTGCTTCCTCGACTGCTGTCGGCGGCGGCGAACGAGGGGGGGAAGTCAGAAGAAGAAGGCCTTCTCAGAGGCGGCGGGACTTCTCGGGAGACCTAGCCTAGCGCCTTCTGAGAAGTGTTTGTCATGTGCTGTCGGGGAAAGCTTCGAGAGCTTGCAGCTTGTCCGAAGGCCAGGGGACTTCCGAGCCCTCTGAGAAGGCCCGCCCGTTATCCTTTCCCCCCCTCGCCCGCCGCCGAGGTTGGCCCTGGGCCGCTCACTGGTGGCCACGGCGGTCCCGAGACGGCCCCCACGGGGCTGCAGCCAAGGCCGGTGCTGGACAAACATAGAGGCCTCCCAGATGGCGTCGGGGCAGATGGAGTCGGAGCATCGCGCCGCATCGATACCTCGGCGATGCACCGGCGATGCATCGGCGATGCATCGGCGATGCACCAGCGAAGCATCGTCGACGTCGGCGATGCACCGGCGACGTCGACGTGGAGCAAATTGGGCTGCTGCACGTCGAGCCGCATCGTCGATGCATCGGCGATGCGGCGCGATCCTCCGACCCCATCTGCGGTGGGGGCATTCGTTAAGGAATGCGCCCAGTATGCTGCAGACCCTGTGGGATTCCTTGTCTGATGAGGGCGGCAATAATATCCATGGCCAATCCACGATTGGCTTTCCACTGGCTTCCAGACCCTGGATTCCCGATCGAAGGTTTCCTTACCCAATGCCGCCACCGTACTCCGACCCCAGCTGGGAGGCCTGGACAACAGGAGGCGGCCTGGCGCAGCATCAGGCGCGCATCCGGGCCGCGGGCGGCCGAGGGGGCCGAGAGCGCGGCGCTGCGGCATCCCTAAGAGGCGCGGGCCTTCAGCAGGAGGCAGGGACGAGGAAGGAAGGAAGGAAGGAAGAGGGAGGAGGACGAGGAAGGACGCTGAGCGATGAAGAGCGAGGAGGAGCGGAGGAGGAGTAGGAGGAGGAGCAGGAGGGGCAGAGGTGTAGGAGGCGGAGGAGGAGGAGACGGAGGAGGAGGAGACGGGCAGGACGAGGAAGACTTGCTCTTGGCATCCACTGCCAAAGGCCCCCTGAAGCGAGCGGAGAAAGAGGAAGGCTCGACTGGCACCCCGTCCTTGTCCGAGTGGGGAGCTTTGCCAAGCATTTTCCGGTGCTCGCACTTGTGAAGGTGAGCGAGGGGCTTGCACTGCGCACCTAACTTCGCGAGAGGCCTGCACTGCGCACCGAACTTCGCGAGGCGCTCCCCCGAGGCGAGAGCCCCGCAGCGCCGGCAGGTGCAGACAGACGGCTCGCCACTGCAGCCCAGCACACCGCAGCGGTATCCAGAGTCCCGCAAGGCCTGCGGGCGGGCTCCGAGGTGAACGGAGCACCACCCGCTCGGCGGCATTGCGGACAAGCGGGCACCTCGCAGACAGCTCCGACATTGCCAAGAGGGCGCGGAACGGCCTGCCTACCAGGTTCCACTCGTGGCGCACTGGTTGGTGGCGGGCCCGACTCCCCCCGCGATTTCTTCACGAGCTGGACTCCAACCAAGAAAAGGCGAGGCCCGACGGACAAAATCTGAGCCGAAAGCTTGACCGCAGCCGTTGACCAGCCGATTCCGGGCGGCCACATTTCAACATCCGAGAGGTCGTCACTCCTGGCATGCCTCGTAATCTCTCTCCTCCTCGCATGCTCTGCGTTTCCACAACCGACGACGCATCGCGTCTGCCGGTTGCCCACAGAGAGGACGCAGACCTGAGACCGGGCAGCCTGCCGCCAGAGCGCGGGACAGAGGCCGCACTCCTCGACAGGCCACGGTGCGGATGCGGCCCTTGCTTTCTCCGTGGAGGCAAGGCTCTCAAAGACGATAGCGAAGCGGAGCCTGGAACCCGACGCGCAGGTACTTGTCCAGAGCTTCGCGCTCCAGCGGCCTGCTGGCAGAGGGCAAAGAAGGGGCTCGAGGAGGGGAAGGGGAGCGAGGGCCAGGGAACGCGGGGAAGCCCACGAGCATGCTCGACACCAAAAGGGGCCCTCCAGGACCCAGACCAGGCACGCAGGCGAGACACGCGCGGCCGCCGAGGGGCCCTCGAGGGGCCCCCCCCCAGCGTGAGCGGGGCCCGTCGAAGGCCTTCTCCCAGTACCCCCGTCAAGACACAGGCGGAGTGGACGAGGGGGGTGCCCCAGCCAGACCTCGCGCGAGCAACGCGATGTAGGGCCGGCTGTTCCAGGCCAGATCGGGACGCCCTCGAGCGCCGGCAGAGAGCTCAGCGAGCGCTCGCCCGCCCACGGCTTTGGGATGCACCCGGTCGTGCGCTCGACGTGCAACGGCCCCCCCATTACGACATGCCGCCGATCTCGCGACCGCAATCCCACGCGAGCAGAGCTCTCGCGGCGCAAGTCAGCTTAGCCCCAGCGCCCAAGGTAGCATTGCGTCTGTTGGGTCGAGCAGTGCGGCGGGGGAGTTTGCGGCCCAGGGCTTGGCCTTCTGGCGCCACCCCCCAAGCGCCGTCGAGCGCCAAGCCGAGCACGGACCCGCGTGCAAGGCCCCGCCAGCGGTCCAGCGCGATCGTGCACTTCCGAGACAGCCACCTTCGTAGGCGAAACCATGGCAAGTAGGCCCATCGATACCTCGGCGACCATCATCTTGGCGACCGCTTGTGCAAACACTCACCCGATTCAACCGATCATTCTCGCAAACTTACCGGGGGCCCCAGCGGCCCCCAAGCTGGCGCCGTCAACGCGCGCGCCCAGGGAAACTCCAGGAGAGACCCCGGCCGCGTCGAAAGCATCTAGAAGCCGAGCGCCCAGGCCATGGGCGCGGCGAAGCTGCACCCCGCTACGCGACAGAAAAGCGGAGGGGCGACCGCGCAGGCGGGCATCGCGCGCGGCGCGCAGAGCGACAGGCCGCGAAGCGCACCGCACTGACGGCGGGGTTGAACGAGCGCCGTCGGCAACGGCAGATGAGTAGCAACACAAAACCCGACCCTTCGGGTGGCGACCTAAGTTAGAAAGCCAAACAACGTTTGAGGGCGGGGCGTCTTCTACGCAGACGCATCCGACCACGCCGCCCAGGGCTTTTCGTCCAGAATGCCAGGACGGGGACCTCAGTGAGGCCACATTTTCACTTTTGTTATTTGGGCTATAAGGGGTCTCTGGCCCTCGAGGATCAAGACAGGAGGGCAGCTGGATCCGCCAACGGAACCTGAGCATGCCCCACTATTGAGGAGACCCCGACAGGCCAGAAACCCGTCGCGGGCTCGACCAACAAAGCAACCGCAAGGACCAAAGGCTGCCTCGGTAGCAGCCCCGCAGCCTCGATCAGCTCGAAAACCTCGGCCAGGGCAGCCAAAGCGCCATCGGACGCGCGGTCGCAATGCCGCGCGTGAAACATGTGAAGTCCGACAGCCGCCCACCTAAAAACTTACGCGATGATGACCGCATCTGCTCTGGCTCGAGGATCGGGGGGGGCATTAGGACCCCATCGAACTTTGGCCGCGTATCGGGCGCTCTCCAAAGTCCCACACCTAACAGTCTCCGCGCGAACCAGCTCCCAAGGAACCGAAACAACAGCTTTAAGAATCGAAAAGGGGGCGGCGGCGGGCCGCCAGACCACGCGGTCCTCTGCGGCCCTGCAGCCCGCCCTCGCCTCGCTGTGGACCCCTCCAGCAGCCATGGGCCCCAGCCCGGCACGGCCCGGGCCCGGCGCCAGCGCCCGAGACCGTCGCCACCGCGGGCCAGGGCTCCAGGACGGACCCTCGCCGCAGGCCGAGGCCCGGCCTTCTGGGCCAGGCGCGCGCCGCCTGCTGCACCCGGGAGAAAGCAGCGGCGCAGTCGGACTGGGCCCTCTCCGTGGGCGAGGGGTGCTCGCTGAGCGTGGCGACGCGCAGGGCACGGCCAATGCCGGCCTCCGCAGCGCCAGCAGAAGCGCGCTTCGCAGTGGGGCCAATCGAACGACATGCACGACGGGGCGCCGAGGAGCCCCCCCCATCCTGGCCTGGCGCGGGCATCGACCGGGCCTGGGCCACATCCCCTCGGGCCGCGACCCCTGCCGCTCTCCTCCTCGCGCAGCTCCTCCGAAAACAACCCCCCTCGGCGTCGCGCTGCGCGCTGCCCTCCAGCCCGGGGGGGCCGTCGAGATGCGGCTGGCTCCCGAGGCGCAGAAACAGCGCGCAGATGCGACCCACACACCCACCCCACACCCGCCCACCAGATCCCGATCGACTAAGATAGCCACTCTGCTCCGGCGGGGCGGGGAGGCGCCCGTCGAGGCGCCCGTCTAGCAGCGCCCGCGCAGGAAATCGCGCCAGCGGCCCGCCAGAGGCAGCGGCAGAGCCCGCGGGCCTCCGCTCAGCCGGCGGCGATTCCGAGGGCATGGTCGGGGCCGGCGGCGGCGGCTGCGTCGGCTGAGGAGCCAGCAAGAGCGCCGCCAGCAGCGCCATCGGCTTGCCCGCCAGGCGCAGCAAGCGCCTCGGTCCTGCGACACCTCCGAGCAAGCAGCTCGGCCTGAGCTGCCCGCGCGGCCTTGGCCTCGGGAGCTGCATTTCTGAATAAATGCTTAACCGCATCCTGTATATGCGCCGACAACGCGTCGCGACGCTCGTCGATTTCCGATCGATCCTGTGGTGATGAATCATCTTAACAAAAGAAAATGATGCCGAACTGGATGCCGAACGCGTCCGAGCTGATGGCTGGCGCGATCTCGTCGGACTTGGCTGCCGGCATCTGCAACTGAGAATTGGACACCTTCTTCGCCTGCTCCTCTAAGCTTTTGTCCAGCTGCTGCAGCTCCTGAGCAATGGCGTGGGCCGGCCGCTTCTGCATAGCGAGCTGGCCCTCCAGGGTGGCGACGCGCTTCGTATCCTTCTCCATGCGATGACGCTACTTGAGCCGATCTCTCTGGCAGCGCGCCAACGGTCCCTTCAACGCCACAAGGACCACGACAGGAAGAAGTTGGGCCAGCTGGGATCGGTATGCCCCCGTCGCATTGCCAACCTTCTCGTGCAGGGAAATGAACGACTCAAGCTCCTTGGCCGACAAACCCGAGAGAGACTGCTGACGAGGAAGAGAACTTGATAACCTGGAACACGCATACCTTCTTCTTGCTGTTTGAACAGGGATTCGCCAAACCTTCATGCTCGCCTTGACCAAGTCGGAACAGAACCCGATTCACTCTTTGTGCTGTCCCGCAATGCTTCCAGAAGTAAAACTCGGGGAGGTTGCGGCGACAGCCGCACATAGATCAGGTCCCTTTTCAGAATTCTGAGTGAGCGTAGCCACCGTCAGCACGAGAAGACTGCAGATCAGGAACCAGGATAGGCCACGTCTCACGCCATGGCACCATACTACCCATCGAACTGATCCTCCTCTGCCATGTGCAGGCAGCGAGGTCCAGCTGGCATACCACGGCCGCCGTGGTTGCAGCAGCTGCTCCGAAGAAAACGACGTAAAAGATAGAGGGCTGAGATCCGCCAAACTCGAGAACCGTAATTGGCCCGGAACGGCAGCATGCCGTTCTGAAATGGATGCTCCTGTGAACACGAGCAGGGCGCCTGAGCCAGGACGGCCACGAGGAAGGCGACGAGGAGGAAGACGAGGCAGGGGCGGCGGAGGCGACGGAAGAGGAAGACGCGGAGGAAGAGCAGGGACAAGAAGGGGGCGAGGACGGGACGAGAAGGGGGGAAGGGCAAGCGGGATGGAGAGCAGATCAGGCACGAGCAAGTGAGGGAGAGGCGCTCCGCCCGCCCATGGCGAGGGCGATCGCCTCACGGAGGCAGCGCCGTGCGCTTCCGCGGCGCCTTCGACCTCTCCTCCGAGGCGCCCACCGCGCGCTGCAGCCGCTCGCCGCCCGGGCCGCCCTCGCCGCCCGGGCGAGGGCGCGTCGGGGAGAGGACCTGGAAACAAGGCAGGGCGACACCACAGCCACCAGCGCGAGGCGCCAGACAGGGTCCCCCTGGTGGTGAGATCCCCCCCCCACCTCCCGCTCGAGCCATCCCATAGCCCAGGTCTTACGCTGCATCCTCGGACGACCCTACCTGCCCCGTTGCGGCCCTATCCGCGTCGAATCCGTGTCGAATCCGTGTCGGACTCGTCGGATCCGTGTCGAATCCTTGTCGAACCCGCGTCGAATCCACGCAAAATCCGCGTCGAGTCCGCATCGAACCCGCGTCGGGCACAGGAAAAGATACCAAATGTTGAGGACGGGTGAGGCCCACCGAAGATGCGACGTAGCAGGTCCTCGCTGGAGGTGGGCCCCCTGGTGGCAGCGGTGTCGCCTCTCACTCCTCCAGAGGACCTGGGTGGCCGCCTCGGAGACACGCTCGTAGGGGAAGTCCCACGGAGCCTCGAGGGGGCCGCACCGTCGAGGGTCGGGGGTCGAGGCCTTGGGGCGCTTTCCGCTCCTGTGGTCACCACGGCTGGATTCCCCTCCCCAACTCCACCTCCTCCTCCTCCTCCTCCTCCTCCTCCTCCTCCTCCTCCTCCTCCTCCACCTCCTCCTCCTCCTCCTCCTCCTCCTCCTCCTCCTCCTCCTCCTCCCCCCCCTCCTCCACCTCCTCCTCCTCCTCCTCATCATCATCATCAGTTTCGTCCTCCTCCTCCTGCTTCTTCGTTACATTCGTGGTTTTCTGATTATTATGATTCGTCGTAGTGTTGCTAGTGTATTTAATAATATTATCATTCGTATCATTCGTAGCATCCGTCCTCATAGTGTGATTATTCTTAGTAGTAGTATTAGTCTTATTCTTCGTATTAGGATTCGCCTTCTTATTATTCTTATCCGTAGTAGTCTTATTCGTCGTATTCTTTTTACTAGTATTAGTATTGTAATTCTTGGTTTCTTTGTATCACCATGATGCGTCCACCTCCTCCTCCTCACCCTCCTCCACCTCCTCCACCTCCTCCTCCTCCTCCTCCTCCTCCACCTCCTCCGCTTCTTCCGCCTCCTGGGCACTCTGGGAGCCTCCAGAGGCCGACATCCAGAGACCGCCCCTGGAGATCTTCAGAGACCTCCAGAGGGGAGTGCTTCCACAGTCAGCATCAGCAAACCCTCAGATCCGACGTTGTGACTCCCAAAAAAAACGCAACATCAGGAAAAGTCACGACCAAAGCCCTGGACCCCATCTTTCAACAATCTTCAAGCCAGCTTGATCTGTGATGGCCCTGGGTCCCGCAATCGGGCGAGCACGCCTGGCGTGAACAAATGCAACGCCCAGATCTCAGGAAAGAAAGTGGTAGCCTCGATGAAGTCCTTGACCGCCACGTAGTCAGAGTCACTGTGCGCTCCGAGACCGCCCATCTGGTTGAGCAGACCGCAGTCCCGGTACTCTTCGTCGTAGCGGGCAACCTTGCAATAGCGCAGCACCGTCGAGGGCTCGTCGAAGCCGTCGACCACATCGTAGCTGCGGAAGTTCGCCCTCTCGTCGTCGATGAGCACGACGCCTTCTGGCCGCAACTGCACGAGATCCTGGTAGCGCGACTTCTCCTGGCCCCGCAGCTGCGGGAACCACTCCTCGGTGTGGTCCACGACATGGCGGAGCACGTCCGCCTTGTCATATGGATGGGTCTACATATCTATATATATATATATATATATATATATTCTAGAACCATGCGTTCGCTTCGCGCGCGTTTATGTTCTAGCAGGCCCCAAGCCTTGACGAGTTCACTGCTCGGCTGAAGAAGTGGGCCACAGCTGGTTTGAACGGACAGTGAGGAAGTGCCCATAACACTAGACGCATTATGGGCAGTGCAAAATCCACGCACGTCAATCCGCATTCCGGGAGGCGTTCGGGGAAGATCGTTGCGTAGGGGGGCGGAGGCCTGATGAACCGGTGTTCCAGAAGGCCGTCTGGGAACATTGTTTTTGGGGACGTTTGTGGAAGCCTGTTGGGGCGTGCCATCGTCGTCGTCGTCGTCGTCGTCGTCGTCCTCGTCCTCGTCCTCGTCTTCGTCGTTTCGCCGTTCTCGTCGCCGTCGTCGTCGTCGGATGGACCCCTCCAACGATCCGTCCAACGCAGTTTTCCACTCCAGATCGAAGCCCGACGACACCAGGGCCCGAAACCGGCCTCCGAGGGCGGAAAGCGCCGAACAACAGTTTCGAACATCGAAGTTCGAAATTCGTCGTCGTCTTTGTCGCCGTCGCCGCCGTCGTCGCCTTCGTCGTCGGCAGAGAAGGCGATCAGTAATGTCCCCAGTCAACTTCCCAGACAGCTCTCCGGCAGCGCGATAGCACGTACTTCGGAGCCTCTGGAGACTCTCGGGCCCACGATGAACCCGGTCCCTGGAAGGCCTTCTGGGGACATGAGTTGTTGGGGTGTGCCGGGGGGCCTCTTGGGCGTTCCCTGGAAGCCCCGTGGGGGCCTCTTGGGGCTTCCCGGGGGCCTCTGGGGGGCCTCACGGAGCTTCTGGGAGCCTCTTGGTGGCCTCTGGGAGCCTTCTGGGTGAGGGCCAGAGACTCCAAAATATCGGTTCGCGGTCCCCCTCTGGGCCCCCCTTGGGGCGCTCTTGGGGCACACTTGGGTTGTCTGGACAGCCTCCTGGGCCGTCTTGGGGCCCATTCCGGGGCCTCGTGGGCCGTCTTGGAGCGATCTGAAGGGCCTCCGAGGCCGCGAGGGAGCGCCGGGAAGCGGGAAAAGCAAGAACGCCAAAATCCTCCCAAAACCATAGGGACATTTATGAATTTTGCCTCCCAGGGCCCTCTTGGCGAGCCTCTTGAGGCCATCCTGGAGCGTGTTGGGGTCCTCGTCGGCCGTCTTCAGCGCATCTTGGGCGTCTTCGGTGCCTCTTGGGACTGTCTGTCGCGGCCCGTTTCGGGGCGGGCCTGGCCCCTCTCGGGAGCTCTGGGATCCCCGCAGAGCCCCGGGGGGGCACCCATGGAGGGTACAGGCACCAGCCTGGCCCCCCCCCGACTTGGGGCCCTCTTGGGGTGCTCCAGGGCCGTCTCGGAAGCCATCTTGGGCGTCTTGGAAGCCTCTTGGGCCGTCTTGGGGCCGTCTTGGGGGCCTCTTGGGCAGCTCTGTGGCCATCCTGGAGGCCTCTTGGGCGATCTAGGAGCGACCTTTAGGGCTCTCGGGCCGTCGGCAGGCCGAAAACCCTTGGGGACTGATTCTGGCCCCCTTGCGCCTCCCTATGGAGGCCCTCTGGGAGGCCTCCTGGGCCGTCCTGGGCCATCTTAGAGCCGCCTTGGCCCGTCTTGGTGGGTTACTGGCCCGTCTGACGCCGACGGAAACTGTCTTGGCGGCCTCTCTGGGCCGGCTTGGGGCCCTCTTGGGGTGCTCCAGGGCGTCTTGGAGGCTTCCTCGAGCGTCGTACTGGCCCCTAAGGGCGTTTAGGACCGGGAACGGGGGCCCTGGAGCCCGGGTCCCCCCATGGAGAAAAAATGGGGCCGGGCCCCCCGGGGGACCTAGAACCGTCGCGCGCGCTTCGCCCGCGCTCAAGTTCTAGCTAGGCTTGATAGGCTAACTCATGTAATCTCATGTTGGTCGCTTCTTGCGTCCAGGGACTCCCTTGGAGGCCCTGCGCAAGCCTCAGAATCGTATAGAAGGGGAAGTGCGGAAACGCAGAAATCATGAATTCCCTTCAGGTATTCAACGATGTGGGGCCCTGAAAGGCTTCCTGGGTTCTTTTTTGGGAGGTGAGGGGTTCTGAATTGTGGTCTGTTGTGCAAGAGTAGACCGGGGGCCAAACTTGAAAAAAAGGAATTGTGAGATTTCCATGTTTATACAGTTCCTCGGCGCTGTTCGGCGCTATTTTTATTTGTGCCTCACGGGTGTTGTTAGCCGGGCCCCTCAGGGGTGTGGGATCTTCCGGACCCCCTGGGGGTTCTGGAAGTATCCTGGAGGCCTGGAGAGCCGTCGGAAGGGTGTCTCGGGCTGCGCGGGAGCGTGTTGGGCCGTTCTTTACGTTCTGGGGGCTCCTTGGGGTCGCCTTGGGCTGAAATTGGGCGTCGTGGGGGCCCTCCGGGAAGCCGGGAGGCGCGGTACAGGCCAGATGTCAGGGTGTGTGTGGGATCTCCCAAGTAGGAGTCCCACTTGGAAAAAAAGGGAATTCTGGGAATCCCCTTTTGCCCCCAAGTCCTCGATCTTCGAGGGTTGGAAGCGGGAAAACGTGAGAAGGCGAAAGGAAAACCATTGGAAATCAACGATTTTGCCCTCTTTAGGCTCTCTCGGGACGGCTCTCGCAGTTCTCTTAGGCTGTTCTTGGAGCCTCGTCGGGGTCTTTTTGGGGCCTCTGGGGGAACGGGGGTGTGTTGGGGGCCTCTGGGTGATCCCGGAGGCCTCTCGGAGGTCTCTGGAAGCCTCCTGCTCCCGCTCTTGGGCCCATCTTGGGCCTGTTCTGGGGTGGTCTGGGGCTGTCCTGGGCGCCTCTTCGGCAATCTTGGGGCCTTCTTGGCCCGTCTTGGGGCCGTCCTGAGGGGTCTCTTGGGTGGTCTTGGGGCGGTCTTGGACCGTTGGAAGCTCGAACACGCGAGAAGCCAAAAACATGAAGACCAACGAAAATCTACGATTTGGGCCTCTTCGGGCCGTCCCGGGACGCCTCTCGGACCTCTCTTGGGGTCTCTTGGAGGCCACCTGGGAGCCTCAAGAGCCGTCAGAAGGCTGACTTGGGCTGCTTGGGAGCGTCTTGGGCCGTCCTTTCGCATTCTGGGGGCTCCTGGGAGGCGTGTTGGGCCCTCCTGGAGCGCTGTGGATGCTCCCCGGAAAGGCTGGGGGAGCGGTACAGGGAGCGTTCCCGAGATGTCGCGTGGAGGTGTGGGACCTGGGCTGGGGAGGGGGCGGTAGATAGGGGCGGTATATATATATATATATATATATATATATATATATATATATATATATATAATATATATATATATATATATATATATATATACATATACATATACACATATATATACATATATATACATACATATACATATATACATATATATATATATACATATATATATGTATATACGTATATATACACATACACAGACAGACAGACAGACAGACAGACAGACAGACAGACAGACAGACAGACAGACAGACAGACAGACAGACATAACCAGATTCCCCAAACAATGCTTGTTTGCACGTAGGTGTTCTTCTTCTGTTCAAAACAACTAAACCTGACATCTGGTCTGGCGGCTATGTTACGGCAGTCGCCGCCCCGTCGCCGCCCGTCGTCTGGGCCAGACCGCTGGTCTGGCGGCGATGTTGTCGCCATCGCCGCCCCGTCGCAGCCCCGTACATTCTCCGATCCAAAACAATATGAGGATCCCCCCCCCCGAATTAACGGCCCCCCTCTCGCACTGCAGATTACATACGATTCAGCCCCGATCGTCCGACCTGAATACGCTTTCGGACCACCCCAGGCAGGAAGGTATCCGTATCCCTTCGTCATACCTTGCAAGAAACATTATGCGCGCGCACCCTTTTCATCAAACATCAACAATTAGCAAGAAATCCTGGAAACAGAATTGAACGAAGTGCACACGCGCGCGTCGTCGCGCGCGCATGCCCAAATCCTTCAGACACCGTAGGATTCGTGGATTTCAAAACCGAGCGTCCCGACAACAAGTAAAAACGAATGGCTTCGCAACAAGAATGTTCGACAAAAACTGGCGTTCGGGTTTTTGTGAATTCTCAGACAGACCATCGGTTTTTAACATTTCATATGTTGTTACCAGACAGGCCTCTCGCGCGCGCTTGCGCGCGCGTTGCCACAAGAACCCCCAACAAAAATCAAAAGAAGTGCACGCGAACGCGTCGTCGCGCGCGCATGCCAAAATACTTCAACATCCGCAGGCTTACCCGAAAACATGCCACAAACATAAATGTGCAACGCCAGGTGTTCAAGCATGCCTCCGCCTGCGCTCCTGCGAAGTCTTACGACAGCCGATGGTGTCCCAGCATGTTTTTTTTTGACTTCGGCCAAGCGGACGCCTCGCGCCGCGCGCCGACATCATCCGGACGCACTTACGGGCGTGCTGGGGGGGAGGGGGGATACAACGCGTGTCAAGTGGCACCATGCCGCCCACTCTCGCGCGTCGGCCGCGCGCGCATGTCGAACTCCCTCCGAAACCTTCATCACCGACGCGAGGGCGCCGTCATCGTCGTTGGCGTGATCAGCCACGGAGCTGTCACTGGCCTTGCCGTCGTCGTCGTCACCATCGTCTCCAGCATTGGTTCCATCATCATCGCGGCTACCCTTGTCGACGTTGCCATGATACCGCGCTCGTACAAGTCGCCGACTCGCACTGAACTTCCCGCTGGGCAAATGCCCAGCGGTCAGCGCCACCGCGGCCGCGTCGGTCGCGCCAAACTATATGGCCGCTGCGCGCGCCAGCATGCGCGGCCGCAGAGATGCACCAGCCAATTATCCTCACTTATCGCAATCGCCGCCGCATGGGTTCTGCAAACCAAGGCAACGGTGGGTTGGTGGGATGTTTGCGCGAGCAATGGAGTTCACAACTCACTGCGAACGGAAATTAGAAATACATTGCGCCGCGTAGATTGCACCACGTCGATTGCACATAGATTGCACCACGTAGATCGCACAACATGGGCAGGAGAGAGCGCGCCACGAGAGACAGCGCCACGCGGGGGGTCCCCCCCCAGCTACCCAACCCCACCTGGACCTCTGCTGACGGAAGCACCACCCCCCTTTTTTGCGCGCTCCAGAAGCTCCCATTCCCAGGCACCCCTGCCGTCAGCCCCACCCCCTTCCCCCTGCAATCCCTGCAAGCTGCCCCCGCCCCTCTGAACCTCCCCGGATCGAAGCCCCCCCTTCCCCGTCGATCGCCCCACGAAGGCTACCCCCCCTTCAACCTCCCAGCCAGAACCCCCCGCACCCTCTGCAAGCGACCCCCCTCCTGTCACCTCCCTCGCCGAAGCAACCCCCCTCCCTTTCCGACAGCCCCCTCCTCCCCCCTTCGCCACCTCTGCCGGAAGCCCCACCCCCCCTTGCCCTGCTCGACCCCTGCAAGCTGCCCACCATCCCAAACGACGACGACGACGACGACGACGACAACGACGACGACGGCAGCGACGACGATGACGGCGACGGCGACGGCGACGGCGGCGGCGACGGCGACGGCAGCGGTGTGCGGGCACGGCGCTCGCGGCGCCAGCTGCAAAAGCGACAGCAGCAGCAGCAGCACCGGCGGCAGCACCAGCAGCATCACCACCACCAGCAACACAACCAGCATCACCAGCAGCAACAGCAGCAACAGCATCAGTGGCCCCAGTAGCAACACAAGCAGCAGCGGCAGCACCAGCAGCAGCACCAGCAGCACCAGCAGCACCACTATCACTACGAGCAGCAGCATCAGCACCAGCATCAGCATCAGCAGAGGAAGCAGCACCTGCACCAGCAGACGCACGAGCAGCAACACCAGCAGCAGCAGCAGCGGCAGCAGCAGCAGCAGCATCAAGAACACCAGCAGCAGCAGAACCAGCAACAGCACTCGCAGCAGCAACAGCAGCATCAGCACCAGACCAATGGCAGCAGCAACCAGCATCAGCAGGAGCAGCCGCTGCACCCCACCAACAGCAACACCAGCAGCATCACGACCAGCAACACCAGAGGGACGGAATACAATACTATTACACTCGAACTGCCAGATGGAAGCGACTGGGGAACAAAGCAACAACTACTCCACTTCACGACTCGACACGTGGCAACGCCTGTGGGGCGGAACCACATTTAATTCACTCGACTCGCCACGTGGCAACGCCAGGGGAGCGAAACGAATACTGTTCCACTCTCCTCGCCACGCGGCAACGCTCGTAGAGGGGAACAGGCACTACTGTGCTGTGCACGCCACGTGGCACCGCCTGCGGGGCGAAACAGCATGACGCCACTCTACTCGGCGCGTGGCAACGAAGCGGGGCGGGAACGAATGCTACTCCACTCTACTCGCCACGTGGCACCGCCACGTGGCAAGGCCTGAGGGGCAACAAAAGTACTATCCCACTCCACTCGCCACGTGGCAACGACATGGGGGCGAACAAGGAGTGCAACTCGTCGACGACGGCGACGACGACGACGACGACAACGACGGCGACAATGACGCCTGCACGCCCGCCCGCGCGCGCACGCGCGCGCGCCTGCTCGCGCGTCTGCTCGCGCGCCCTGCCGCCCGCCGAAGAGCCTGTCCGCCCGCGCGCCCGCCCATGCGCACCCGCCCGCCTCCTCGCCCGCCCGCCCGCCTTCTCGCCCGCCCGCCCGCCCGCCTCCTTCCCCTCCTCGTTGGTCCTCCGCCTCTCCTCCTCGTTCCTCGCCGTCCTCCTCGTCCTCCTTCCGATCCTCCCACCTCCCACTCCTCCCTCCTCCTCCTCGTCCTCAACCTCCACCTCCTTGCGTGCCCTCCCATCCCAGGCCTCCTACCCTCCTTTTCCCTCCTTCGTTCTCCCTCATCCCCTTTCCTCCTGCCTCCCCTTCCTTCTCCTCACTCCTCTATCCTGCCTCAGTCCTCCCTCTTCCTTCCTCCCTCCTCCACCTCCGCCTGCTCCCTCCTCCCTCCTCCCACCTGCATCCTCCTCCCCGCCACTCCCTTCTCGCTCCCCCCTTTCCCCTCAAACCATCCTTCCTTCACCAACTACCTACCCCCGACACCACTCCCCAAATGCGCACTTGATTGCAAATCTTGGCCCTGCCCCCGAAAATTGCCTTGTTTGGATTTGGTTGTCCCGACTTTGGGTTTCAAATTTTTGGGATTTGTGCGTTTCCGCGCTTGTCCTGCGAAATTTTCTGGGCGTGTCCTGCGAAATTGCAGAAAATGGGGCGAACTGCACACGCGCGCGTCGTCGCGCGCGCACGCCTGAATCCATCAAAAACAGAATGTGTCGTAAACATGTCGAATTCGCAATCGGTAATCACGAAAAATGTGAAAGCGCATGGTTTCGCAACGAGGGTTTTCCAAAAAAACCTGCGCCCGCGTTTCTGCGAATTCTTAAGATAACCAAGCCGGTTCATAAAATGCTACCGAACGGTTGCTAGAGCGCGCATGTTGGAATCGCTCGAACGCCCTTGCGCACGTGCTGTCGCAAAAACACCTCGCAACAAGAAACGGGACGGCGTGCACGCGCGCGCATCGTCGCACGCGCATGCCGAGTTCCTCAATCAACCTCAGTTTTCGCAAGGATCTTCAAAAAAAAAATGCGTTCGCGGTTTTGCGGACCTTAAGAAAACCATGGGTGCTTCAACATGATCATCAACTTTTGCCACACGGGCCTCTCGCGCCGCATGTCCAACTCATTCAAACGCCCCTGCTGGCGCGCTGGGAGAGGCACGATTCGCGTCACATCATACCACGCGGGCCACTCGCGCGCGTCGCCCTTGCGCGCATTTCGAACTCCTTCATAAACCTTCATCGCCGACGCGAAGACATCATCATCGTCATCGGCGGGCGTGATCAACATAGGCGCCGTAATTGGCCTTGCCGTCGTCATCGCCATCATCGTCACCATCATCGCTACTCTCATGATCGTGCCTACCGTGGTCGGCGTCGCCATAATACCGCACTCGCCCAAGCCACCGACTCGCACCGAAGTGCCCGCTCGGAAATGCCAAGCGGTCAGCGCCACCGCGGCCACGTCGGTCGCGTCAAACTAGCTGGCCGCTGTGCGCGCGAGCATGCGCGGGCTATCTCGGCCAGAGATGCACCAGCCCACGCCAAGCATGCATCGCAATCGCTGCCGTATGAGTTCTGCGAACCAATTTGCGGGTGGGGGGTGCGATTGGTCAACTCGTTTGTAAAGATCGATTGTACCGCATATATCGCACCGCATAGATACCTCTACACTGATTGCACAACATGGATCGGTTCCACCACATACGTTGCAACGCATGTATTGCGCAGCATCGGTTGCACACCATGTATTGCACAGCATGGGTTGCACGACATGGATTGCACATCATATATTGCACAACATAGATTGCACAACACACATTGCGCCACATTTCTTGCACAACCTATACGGCTCCACCTTTAGGGCAACATGTATATACACACAGTATCACATAGAGTACACCAAATACCTTACACCACGTAGAGTGCACCAAACATATGGTTCCACATCGACTGCATAACGCCGACTGGTCCACATACTGTGATCAACATGCGTTGTCCTACTCAACTTGTGAAACAAAAAACATACTGCGTTGGTCGCAAAAGATCCTACATATCTATATATACACACATGAAAAGCGTATATAAGACACAGCTGATATGACTAGATGTATATATATATGTGTATACATATCCGCTAGACCATTCGTATGTGTACGTACATATACGTTTACAAGTGTATACGTATACTGCATACGAGTTGTTTAGTTGAGAACGTCCGCCTTGTGGTTGTTCACCTTCTCGACGGGTGGCCGAAAGCACTTCCACTCCCCGCCCTCCTGGTAGGCGCCATTGTCCATGCCGGAGCCGTCGGCCTGGATCATGGTCCAGATCACGCTGAAGTGGTCCGCCAGCCCAGCTATGGACAGCAAGTTTAGCACGGCCATTGCGCCACACTCGTTCCTAGGGCTCCCAACTTCGCGCTTCGCACTCCGCGAAGCACGAAGCGCGAATAACTTCGCGCTCTCGCGCCGCCCTCCCAGAGGGAGAAAAGGAGGACGAGGAGGAGGGGGAGAAGGAACGAGGACCGCGAAGCGCGAATAACTTCGCGCCCTCGTGGGAGCCCTTGCGCTCCTGGTCAGCACGGCCAGCTTCCTCTCCGTGGCAATCCACCGCAGCAGCCTGCCGAGCTTCTCGATCCTGCTGCCCTTCTCGACCCAGGGGGTCTCGAAGTTGTAGTCCCGCAGGTCGGCATCGGACCACTCCCCCTCCCCCATGTCCTTCGGCATGAAGGTGGCGAGCGTGAGGGTCTCGTCGAAGTCGAAGACCACCAGCTGCACCGGGCTCTTCCTCTCGTGGCCCTCGAAGTCGCGCTCGTTGCAGCGGACCTGCATCGAGTCCTTGCACATCCACGGGTCCTCCACGAAGCGCTTCAGCATGTCGTAATCTGCGTCGCTGTGCGCGCCGATGCCCCCCATGTCCTTGATGAGGCCGAAGCTGCGGTAGTTTGCGTCGTACCGAGCCACCTTGCAATATCTCATCACCTCGACGCCCGAGGGGCTCGTGAAGTTGGCCCTCTGGTCGTCCACCAGAACGATGGCCTCCTGCCTCAGCGGCAGCAGGTCCGCGAACTCGGCCTCCCAGGATCAATCAGCACCAGGTCGGCAAAATCTGCTCGAATCGGGACGTGCGCTGCGCCGGGCCGCATCGGCACAGAGCCCCGACCGAACCGGATCGGGCGCGACAGGATGGACATGCAGCGCCATGCGAGCATCTGGCCACATCGCATCGTCGGAACATCGGAACCGAATCGGAGCGGGCCGGCCAGCGTCGGTGTCGCATCGGTGCTGGATCGGACCGAGATGGGAACTGCCTTCCCCTGGCCCGCGAGCTGCGGGATCCACTTCTCCGGCTGCCCGCAGACATGCTTCAGCACGTCCGCCTTGTGGTCGTGGACCATGTCGACGGGGGGATCGAAAAACTGCCACACGCCGCCCGCGTCCCGGAACGCGCCGTTGTGCTTGCCTCGGCGCCACGGCATCGTCCAGATGGCGCAGAAGAACTCGTCGAGCCCACCAACCTCGAGGAAGGAAGGCAGTGCGCCTCAGGTTATTCCTTGCACTGTCAAGGCGACACAGGCTCCTCGAGTAGGAGCCTGAGAGTGCGAGTACCAGCACGTGCGTATCATTGGGGCTCCTGGATCTCTGGGGGGGGGCTTTGGGAGGTTCCGGTGAGTAACGAGCCGTACGAGGCTTGGGATGCCTGGAAGGTTTCGGGAACTCCGGAGCTCCGGGAGGCTTGGGAGACTCTTGAAAAACTCAGTTGGAAGCTCAGGAAATCCACAGGAGGCTTGGAATACCTGGGAGGGTTGGAGCACTTTGAACTTCGAGGGGCATGCCAGATCTGGCAGGATTGGGAGACCTGGGGGACGCGGGAGGCTCGGGGGACCAACGAGAGGCTCGGGAGGCTTGCCAAGACCCCCGACCCTCCCAACCTCGGAAGTTTTTTTTGTAACAAAAAAAGCGTGTAATCCTCCCCAATCCCCGCCCAAAATCTTCACTGCCAAGACTACCGTGAACCTCTCAAGGTTCCCTCGGTTCACAGAAGCTCCACAACTCTCCAAACCCTCCCAAGCGCCCCAGTCCCTGGCCTCCAACGCGTGTCGTGGGGCCCCATTGCCCTCCCTGTGTTTGCCTCCCAAGCCTGACCATGGCTACCCAGGGTCCTCAATTGATGGGCCTGTTTTCCACCACCACCACCATAAGTTGGAGAGGGGAAGCAGGTGGAGGATGAGGAGGAGGAGGAGAAAGAGAAAGAGGAGGATAAATATGAGGAGGAAGAGGAGGAGGACCCCCTCCCCCTCCAACTTATGGTGGTGGTGGTGGAAAGCAAGCCGATCATCAATGCCGGTCAATCATCCCGAGAGGGCGGGCCTGGGGCTCGGGAGCCCATGGCCGGCCTCGCAGCGAGTGCAATGCTGCGAGGCTTGGGAACCTTGGCACGCTCGACCAAGAGCGCCTCGGGGGGGCCAGGAGCCATGCTGAGGACCCGGAGCCTGCCAACCTCTGGCATCCTCCCCCCCCCTCGCAGACCTTGAGGAGGTTGACCACGGCGAGGACGCCCGCCGCGTTGGCGTTCCGCGTCAGGATCGCCAGGTGCCTGCGCTGCCCATCCTTGCCGCTCATGAGCCCCTCGAACATGTGCTTGAGCTTATCTACCCTCGAGCCCTCCACCCAGGGGGTCTGGAAGTTCACCTTCGCCATGGTCTCACGCTCGTTGGGAAGACAGCTGCCGTCCGAAGTCATGAACGTTGCCACCGTGAGCGTCTCGTCCAGGTCGAAGACGATCAGCTTGACCGGCGAAGCCTTGTTGCACTGCGGCATGTCCCTCTCCACGCACCTCAGCCGATACTGCGAGGCGGCGCTGGTGCGGCGCAGGCTGCTGCCCTTGGCACCAGAGCCTTGGGCGCCCGAGTTATCCGGGGTAACTCGGGTCTGGGGTAACTCGGGTTTGGATCCCGGCAAAAAGGAACCCGAGTTAGCCCTGACCCGAGTTTCCCCTGATGATTTGGGGCACTGGACGCCCGAATTGTCCGGGGCCAGTCGGGTCCGGGGTAACTCGGGTTCGGAATCCCGAAAAACGAACCCGAGTTAACCCTGACCCGAGTTACCCCTGATGATTCGGGTCTCTGAGAGCCCTCCATCGGCGACAGCGACGCCCTGCTGCCCGGGGGGGCCCTGCTGCCGCCCTGGCTGCCCCGGCTACCGGGCGCGGCCCGGTCCAGGGAGGGAGGCCGCTCGCCGCCACATACCCACTGGCCCATGCGCCGCGCCCGCGCGGGCTGGGGAAAGCCGCGCCCCAGAGAGGGTGCTCTCCCAGCGATCCTGGGCCAGAGGAGGAGGAGGAGGAGGAGGAGGAGGAGGAGGAGGAGGAGGAGGAGGAGGAGGAGGAGGGGGAGGAGGAGGAGGAGGAGGAGGAGGAGGAGGAGGAGGAGGATCATGTTCTCATCCCGGGGGACATCGTGCTCTCTCAGGATGGGAACAGGATGGGGGCAGGAGGACTGCGGCCGCCAAGACGCATCCCTCAGGGCTCTGTAAGACTCTGGGGGTGGCTGTTGTGCAAGAAGCTTGGCGTCGCTTTCCCTGGCTCTTCTCAGGACAGGGGCCCCCTCCCCCCCGAAGGCGCCTCGTCGGCAAGCGTGCCCGTTTGCAACCAGGGGCCCTAGGGGTTCCATCGCACTCAGGCCAGACCTCACTAGACCTCCATGGGGCCCGACCACTACAATGGACCGTCTCAGAAGAGACGTGGTTACGACAAAAACTACACATTCACACGGACATGGACGGATGGTTACCCACGCCCTTGCGACGGTACCACGCCCCATTGGACCCATACTGATGCACCAACTACTGGTATGGATTGCATGATTCACAATCGAGAACTCACCAGGAGCTGCGGGTCAGCGAAGCACGGTCAAAAATTGCTGCCTGCCAATGCTCTCCCCCTCCTGGTGCTGCCTGTTGTGTGCATGGGCCCATGTGAAGGGCTGAACGGGGAATGTTTGCTGTGCTCCGCCAGTGCACGCCAACCTTAAAAAGCAGTACCCGTCCAGTGCAGCATAGTGTACCGTGCTGCCCGACACTGTCAGTAACCATGCACAAGGGGGCGAAGGCTCTTCTTATCAAATCTCTATGTTTCATCCCATTTCTGTCTCTGTGCTCGCCCACTTTAAAAGGCAGCACCCCCCGCACACAATTTGCAGTTCTATATACCCGCTCTCGCAGTTGTCACCGTCTACGCCGGACATTAAAGGGCTGAGGCAGCTTGACGAAGGTATGGTTGTATAGCTCGATGGCTGCTGCTGCTACCGTCATTCTTCCACCATTCCGCCTCTGCTCGTCGCTATCCTGTCGTGGCTTCGATCATCTGCCATCAATCGGAGAAGAAGAAGAGGAGGAGGAGGAGGAGGGAGGAGGAGGAGCAGGAGGAGGAGGAGGAGGAGGAGGAGGAGCAGGAGGAGGAGGAGGAGGAGAAGGAGGAGGAGGAGGGGGAGGAGGAGGAGGAGGGAGGAGGAGGAGGAGGAGGGAGGGAGGAGGGAGGAGGGAGGGAGGGAGGGAGGGGGAGGGAGGGAGGAGGAGGAAGAGGAGGAGGAGGGAGGAGGAGGAGGAGGAGGGAGGAGGAGGGAGGAGGGGGAGGAGCAGCCCCGGGGCCTGGGCCTGCGCACGCCCGCGCGCGGTCCTCCCGGAGGAGGGGCGCCCCGAGGCGAGGAGAGAGCGCGAGCGGCCCCGAAACCCGACGCCGCGATCTGCTCCGTTCTCCCCGGGACCGGTGCTGCACCTCGGGCGGGTGGCAGCGTGGGACGGCCACCCGCCCGAGCCGTCCGTGCTCCTCCTCCTCCTCCTCCTCCTCCTCCTCCTCCTCCTCCTCCTCCACCTCCTCCTCCTCCTCCCCTCTTCCCCTGACGGGCCACCCTGGCGGCGGTGGCAGTGTGCCACCCGTCCGTGAGGCCGGGCGCCGTCCTGTGCATGGGGGACGGAGAGGAGGCCCCGAACGAGGGCCCCTCCTGGGCCCGTTTTTCTGGCTCCCCAAGAGGGGCGACAGAGCGCGAGGGAGAGGGAGAGGAGAGAGAGAGAGAGAGAAAGAGAGACGGGGAAGGAGAGACAGGGAAAGAGAGACAGGGAAAGAGAGACAGGGAAAGAGAGAGAGAGAGGGAGAGAAGAGAGAGAAAGAGAGAGAGAGAGAGAACAAAAAAAAAAAGAGCTTGCCGCGAGCGCCGCCGCTCCCGCGCCCCCGCGGCTGCCCGCCCTCTCCCGCGGCTGCGCGCCCTCCGCCCGGCCCACGACGCCGAATTCGCCGCACCGCGGCCGCACCGCGGGAGCAGGAGGAGCGAGGAGCGAGGCCGAGCAGCGCGCTGCCCGAACGCACAGGGGGCCGCATGCGAACCCCACCCCTGCCCCCCACGCTCCCCCTCAGAAATCGTGGGGGGATGGGTATACCATATGCTTGGGACGGACGCGCGCCTCCAAGGCTAACATCAACATCTAGTACTCGTAGATCTTGATGCGTCCCACAGAGTGCGTTAAGGGGCCGCATGCGAACCCCACCCCTACCCCCCACGATTTCTGAGGGCGAGGTTGGGGTTCAGGGCCACGGGACACGCAAAGAAATATAGGCACAGATCCCACGCCGCCCCTCGTTTTCTCACGTTTCCTGGGCTTTCGTCTCCCCCCCACTGCCCATAGTTTCCCATGTGCCCACGGGGGCTCGCCGATGGATTGTGTCTGTGTGCTTTTGTCCCCCTCCTAGGAGAGGGGCCCCAGAGGCCCCCAAGACGGTTCCGAGCCGGCACGAGCTGGAGTGCCCTCGGGTCCCCTCTGAACCCTCAGTCCTCGCTCCCCGGAGCCAGCCCAGGAGCGAATGGGTGCCGAGGGGCCTGGGCCCGAAAGTCGCGCGTCCCCGCGTGCTCCCGCCGGGCTTTTTCGGAGCCGACGGGGCCCCACGACGGGGCAAGCGGGCCCCCATCGAGGCCCCCGAGGCGCTGCCACGGGGTTCCGAGTCGGCCCAGGAGCGCTCCAGGATGGACAGGATGGCCTCGAGGCGGCCCAAGAGGCCCCCAAGATGCCCCAAGAGAGCCCAGAAAACCCGCCCAAGACGACCCCTAGAGGTCAAAAGCATGGATCTCCGATGGGTTTCTGAATGATCTTGGCGTTCGGGCTGTTTCGGATCCCCGACGCTCCACGAAGGACCCCCCAAGATCGCCCCAAGACGGCCTAAGAGGACCCCAAGACGGCCCCCAAGGCGGCCCCCAGACGGCCCAAGATTTCCCCAAGGCGCCCTGAAGACAGCCCAAGAGGGCCCCAAGAGAGGCCCAAGCCCAGAGGGGAACACGAACCAACATTTCCAGCTCTACACCCCGAGATGGTCCCCGATACCGCCAGCAGGCTAGGCCCCAAGAGGCCCCCAAAAAGCTCCGAGAGACCCTGGAGAGTCTTCTGAAAACTCCCCAACCGCCCCCAAAAGGCTTCCGCGAGGCCTACCACGAGATCACCACAGGAACCCGAGAGGCCTCTTGACCTGCAACCAAGGCACAGTGGCGGAGTGGGCCGAATACAGATTATATATACACACATGCATGCACACATACCTACATACATACAGGCAGACAGACAGACAGGCAGGCACACATATAGACAGACAGACATACCTACATACATGCATACATGCATACATGCATACATGCATACATGCATACATGCATACATGCATACATACATGAATGCATGCATGCATGCATGCATGCATACAGACAGACAGACAGACAGACAGACAGACAGACAGACAGACACACAGACAGACAGACAGACAGACAGACAGGCAGGCAGACAGACAGACATACATGCACACACATACATACATCAGCATATAAACAAATGTAGCTGTACTATACACATACAGTTGCTGAACCATAAACCTATACATCGACATATACAACTACATATGCGTATACGTATACATTGATGCATGCATATGGACATACACAAATTTGTATGTACATATGCATGTACGTATATACGTGTGTATATATTGGCAACGGTGCATACATACACATACATATATACACATGCACATACGTATACATGCGTTCATGCATCTACTTCGGATTACACGTATGCAGATGCATATATATATAGAAACAAACAAATGTACACATATACACACGCATGCACGTATTCATGAGCATGTACACGTGCGTGCACATATGCTTATACATGTGCATGTATTGTTGTCTCTCCCAAGACATACACATAAGCATATGGTTGTTCATATACAAGTACAAACAAATACATCTGGCTACACATCAGCAAATCAATGTTCGAATACAGATGCATGTACATATACACATTGACAGACACGTTTATCAACGTATGAGTATACCCATTCGCAAACGCGTCTACAGTGTTATCCACACATATATATATGTATATAGGTATATGTGTGTACACAACTACATCTAGATGCGTGTCTGTTTATGCATATCTATATAGAAACACTCGCACGCCGCCAGGATGCGATGCGTCTGGTGATATCGACAAGTGGCCAGTCCTGGAGGCGGACGAAGTGTTTGGGTACATAAAGACGACGATGTGGAAGTTCCTGGCATGGACACGCCAGCGAGCTGGGAGCAACGGGGAGAACTGATCGAACGTGGGACGCCAGAGACTTTGATACAAATCCTTCTCGACTCATGTAAAACTCAAAGGCGCGCGCCTGGGCCTGGACAGCTTCGCGAGCGCGGTTGGAAACCCATCGCTCAGCGGCAACTCGCCAGACGACAGGTGGCACTGCACACGGACAGGGTGCGCGTTTACAAGATGAAGATACCAGGCGTCCTTCACGACGACGTCGTCCACATGAAGAAGGTCGTGCGGCAGGGAAAAAAGTTCTGGCTCAAGCCGAAATTTTCCGAGGTGGTGAATCAGGAGTTGCCGACCGGTGCTACGCGGCGCACCAAGGCACGCTCGCCACCAAACGGCGCATTCGGTTGGCGCAGTGGATTTTCTGGGATAAAGGGCAGGACCTATGGTCGCACACTGGCGACATGCTCAAGGCGCATTTTTGTGAGCCTGTGAGCCTGTCGTGTTTGTTTTGGAATGCTCCACGTAAGTGCGCGATTCATGTTTAGCACACGTGAGGTAACAGACATTTGTTATCGCTGCATTGTATGATTAATATATTTTGCAAACTGGATCCTTACACTCCGATTGCTGATGCCTGAACAATATTGATGACGTTGGTTGCGTTTGGCACAGGCCATGTGCTGCTCGATAGCAAAACCTCTGCCATCACACCTTCGATCCAGTAGATATTTGAAGGAAAAGCATGCAC